GACTGAAGTTCAAGTCCCAGACCCAGCAGCTTGAGGGACATGCTGGGCATGTGTGTGTATGCCCAAAATCCTAGGAGGAGAATAAAGGAGAAGGGAATGATGAGTGGCCATCCTCCCTGTGGAATGATTTCTCACTTTCCCTCTCTTTGTCTCTCTTCAGTGAGTGCTTGTGCCCTATGGCAAAAACATAAATAAAACAAAACAAAACAAAAATCCTTCTCTGAGAGCAGGTGCATGTGCCAAAAGAAGGAATTTCAAGGAAATTGTTAGCACAGCCTCATCCAACCCATCCCATACCCCTCAGTCCTAGGCCTTGATTTTAGTAGCAACTCCAAACTTTTTTAGTTTTTTAATGGATTCTGTTTAATGAGCTACATCCTCTTCTTTTGATGTCAAATGAACACAGAACAGCTACAAATTCTTGTCTACTGTCCAGAACAGAGGTAGGAGGTTCCAACTCCTGAGCAGATTTGGGACTTGTAAGAACATTAGACATAGTAAGTTTGGCTCCATCCTGCGTCCTGAAACACCCTAGAGTCACCTCTCCAGAAGAGCAGAAGGTTTGAAGGATCCAAAAGAGGTAGAAAAACTCTATTCCCCATGGAAACTTTAATCCTCTCAGAACAGTTCTGTTCTGTTCTGGACTTTGCAAGCAAATAGGATAAGACCTCCCAAAGTCACCAATTGAATATAATGAGTGTAAGGCTTAGGATACTTGGGCAGGGGGGAAAACTGGGCTGAGAATTCCCATTCATTAGATTCTCCATAGATAGTGATTTCTTTATTTAACCAAAGAAAAGCAATGGAACCAGCTTCCCCCTCACCTATTAAAAGGAGAAAGATGGATGTCTTTAATTGAAAGCAAGACATCACAAAATTCTTTAATGAGAAGCTCAAAGGGGCTTTGAGCTCTTCTTGTACCTTCTTGGCTTGCAGCAGGATGGCATTAAACCTTCCCGAAAAGATAAGACTCGATCTATTCTTAAATATATCCAAAGAGGACATTCCAGTTTCTGCTCATTTGTTAGGGGAGTTTTTCTTTCCCCTTCTAACCACACCACAGGCAAACTTTTCCTATCACTAACCGGAAGCCTTTCCATTAGAGCTGGCTTGGTTTGCTCAGTGGAGGTGATGAACAACCAGTCACTATCAGCTTTTTCCAAACTACATTTCATTCATCCACCACTGTTAAATTATAACAACTGATTAGCATATTTGGATTTAAATCAATATATTTGAAGTATTAGATGCCAAATGACTGATCTAGAAGGCAAAGGAATATCACCCATCTTTTAATTTTTTTTGAAGTTTATTTTATTTATATTTTTCCATGAATCTGGACCCAACCAAGTCTTGACACCACTATCCACCCCCAGCCTTCAGCCAGCTCAGCTCATGGGCAAGTGCGTGCCGAGCATACTCAGAAAAGTACTGAGTATTTCCTTGCAGGCTTCAGGGAAGTTTTCAGACTTCAGGGGAACATTCCCACGTGAAACTGCCTTTTAGAGTGTCACATTTTACCCCTTTACCATCATCTGGTCCTTAAGACCTAGCTTTTTTGTCATACTTTTTTTTTTTTTTTTAAGTTTGCTATAGAGCACATGCATGAGAGAGAGAGAGAGAATGGCCCCACCACAGTCTCTTCTCCTCCCTTCTCTCAGGATTTTAGGCACACACATACATGTGCCCAGTGTGTTTTTCAAACCATGCAGTCGAACTGCATAGTCGGCCATGTGGGATCCAGCTACCTTAACTATCATGCCATAGGCTGGTCCCTTTTTTCTTTCACTGCCATTATTTCCAATGCTAACATCTCTCCCTTCACCATCTCTCTTGTGAAATCCCACACATAGATTCTCTCTCACACACACGTACACAACAAATGTGTACACTTGCACTAGTAAACAGAAGAACACACTGAAGTTCTTAGCCTTATCCTTCACTATTCACATTGAGGGAGTACTAGTTAACGTCATGCACCCCAGAGCACACCGTTTGGGCTTAAGTCCTGGTTCTGGAACCTTGAACACATTTGCTGATCTCACTTTTTTCATCTGTTGGTTGGAAACTGTAACAGCACCTGCCTTACAGAGATGTGGAAAGGATTAATGAGCTAAGACGTGAAACGCTCTTAGAATGGTGTCTGGTTCTGTGGCTGTAAATGCTTTGTAGTTGTGAACCATTGTTATACCCCTCTGCAGTAAAGGAGCATTCTGTGCCAATATTCCAGAAGTCACCAGTCTGAGAAAGACAAGGAATACGACTCAATTTGAAGGGACGTTAGTAGTGAGAAGAGCCGCCAGGATAAAAGATTAATGAGAAAAGTCAAAAAAGCAAACAGTTGCTAGAACTAAACTAAAGAGAAAGGGCAAAAGCAGGTATTTACTTGACAAAAGATATGTAGAGAAGGAGAGAAAGAAAAAAAAGAAACAAGAATAAAAAGGTGGGCGTGAAAAAGAAAAAAAAAAGGAAAAAGAGGACCAAGAATAGTAAAGGTGATCAAAAATTGGACCAGAGCCCATTTCCAACTTGAGAAAGCTATTAGGAAAGAAAAGGAGTGAAAGAGAAAACAAAAATGCTGGTCTCAGAAACAGGGACGGTTGTGGCAGAAATGATGGGGGAGGGGACGAAACAAGTGACACAGAACCGGCTTCATTTGCAGCCCCAGCCGGCTCCCTCTGAATTATGCGGTGTTTACCGGCTCCCTTCACCCACCCATGATCCTCCAGGCTCGTTCCTGGTCCTCCTGTGTCAACTTGCTTTCGATTCCGGAGCACTCTGGGTCCCTAAGGCTCGCCTTGGCTAGATGTCTGCCTGTGTCTCGTCTGCTCTGCTGACACCGCCGAGACGCAGTGAGCCAGTCTGTATTTCATTCTTACTATACGGTCATCATTTTCCAGTGAAACTTAGCTCTGGAGCAAACATTTACACTCCCTTCCTACTCCAAACATCCAGAAAACTATAAGGGGAGCTAGTATTTTAATAGTACTACCCCAAGAGCATCCCCCCCCCTTTTTTTTTTGGTCAGTTGAGAACAAGAGGGAAAAAATGATACAGTACCACAAGGAATATGCCATTTTTAGGGTTCCAGCGTGCCTTTCCCATCAATGGGAATTAATCACCTAACCTCTTGAAAACTGTCAGAGTCGAATCGAGGCTTGAAATAAAACCAGCATTTAAAATACTTTTTCAGTAATATTTAAATACTGCAAATACTGCAAAATGCGTCCCCCTCTTTGAGGAAGTCGAGAGACCTTAAAGGGCCCTCTAGGTAGAGGAATTAAACGGACCGCGAGCGACTCCTCACGCCAGGGTGAGCCCAGGCCACCACCGCCGCCGCCCGAGTCACGAAGCCAGACGCGGTGCGCGTCTCCGCCCAGAGCTCGGGAGACTGCAGCAGCGCAGGCGGCGGCCGCCGGGGCCGGGCGGCTCCTGGAGGCGGGGAGGAGACGCGACTACCGCAGACACGTGACCTGCCAGCCGCCGCTTCCCGCGACCCAGATCCGTCCCCGGAACCGTGGCCGGCGGGGCGGCCGGGGGACACGTAGCGACCGCCCCAGTCCTTGCTGCGCCCTGGTGCATGCACATTCTGCCTTCTTCTCCTGGTTCATATGCCTCTGGCAATAATGTTTCGAAGATCATCGGGGAGAATATAAATATTACTCTCGGAACAGGAAAAACCCTGGTCTTAAATTTATATCATAAAGATCAATAATACTGTATTTGCCCTCCACCCCACCCCAGCAGACTCGAGCAGCGGCAGCAGTGGGGCTGGAGACCTGGGAGTCCCCTAGGACTCGCCTTCCCCGGCCCCAGAGGCCCCTTGCGCCAGCTGCGCAGGGCGGCGTGGGCAGCGCGCATCTCCGGGCACCTCCCGGTAACTCTCACTAGCAGTGAGTCATGCTCCCGGGAAGGCTCCGGGGAAAGGTAGCTCGGCTCGTGCTGGCCTGTGCTTCCCAGCGCTGAGCGCCGCGGTTGCAGGGAGGGCGAGCGCGCGCGCGCACGGCTTCCCCGTGCAGTGATGTGGCAGCAGCGGCAGGTCGGATCACGTTGCTGGCCCTGTGCTGGTACCCGTTTGAGACAGGATTAAGGAGGGAGGCTTTGGAGGTGCCAGCGGTAGTAAACGTGGGCTCTGCACACTCCCAGCGTCGCTTATCGCACGGGGGATGGGAATGGGGGTGGGGGAGGAGGGGAAAAATCACGTAGCGCCACCCGAGGCGCAGTGGGGTGGCAGAGTTTAGCGGGCGAGTGATAAATGCTGCATTGCTTCTCCGCGGTAGCCCCTCTTGGGTCACCCTCCCTCACCATTCTACCCCCACTCCTTCCCCCGCTCCCAGACGCGTTCCTCTGGGAGCACTCGAGGCCCCAAACGTCGTCATCAGCTGCTGTGATTAGTGGCACCGCAATTCCGGCTGCTGCGGGAAGTTTAGGTGGCCAAGGGACACGGTGTCGTCCAAAGACACTTGGATTGCGACATGCTAACCCAGTGACTATATTTTCATTTATCTTAAATCCTTCAGGGAGTATGTTTCAAATTGCCCCTTTTCGGAGCAACCTCTAACCAGCGCCAAGGGGTCCCCCCAGGCCCTGAGCGGTGAGCAAACAAGTCTCAAAATTTTCCTTCGGGACTGAAGTTTACCCACCGCGAATTCCCTTTCCTTTCGCTGGTCCAAACCAACAGCACATCGGTGGAAAGCAAAAAGCTACGTTCACGTTCTTGCACCGTAATGACGGGCGAGCGGAGGGAGTCGCATTTCCGAGTCAAGGAAGCCCGGTTGCCCCGCACCCCTGCACCCCGTCTCCCTCCCCCGGCTGGCGGCAGTAACGCCTTAGGGAAGATGAATAGCTTGGCCCGAGTTGTTTTTCCTTTCCGGTTGCCCTGATCAGGTGTCCCCGCCCCCCCCCGCCGCTAGCCTTCCCTCACCGCCTTTTCCCGACGCCCCCTCCTGGCCCGGCCCCTCCTCCCCCGCCCCCCTCCGGGCTGGACCGCGGATGGTACGTTCCGCACGTGAGCTGGGTGCTGGTCTGGCCGGCGACGCGCGTGCCCTGTGGCCAAACACTGCCCGGAGTGAGAGCAAACTACCAGCGCAGTGGGGCCGGCGCAAGTGTGCGTGTGCATGTGTGTGCGTGTGTGTGCGAGAGGGCGAGCGAGCGCGGTGTGGGGGGACCAACTGCTTCACACTTTCAACACTGCACTGAAGAGGGAGAGCGAGAGAGAGAGACTGGAGACGCACAGATCCCCCCAAGATCTCCTAAGGCTACCGTCCCACAGATTAGAGAACAGAGCCCCAAAAATCGAAAGAGAGGAAACGGACAGCGGTTGAACATGGACGAAGGAATTCCTCATTTGCAAGAGAGACAGTTACTGGAACATAGAGATTTTATAGGGTAAGGTGCACGCACCCTTACGAATATCGGTCTAGGCTTCTGTTTGATTTTTTTTTTTTTCCTTCTCCAGAAAGTGATATGGAGCGGGCGAGGGCAGAGCCCCTCCCGGAATGGGTGCCTGATGCTGATTTCTGTTTTGCAGACTGGACTATTCCTCTTTGTATTTGTGTAAACCCAAAAGAAGCATGAAGCGAGACGACAGCAAGGTAAGTGTAAGTTTCCGATGTTTCCCATAACCTGCCTGGATAGTTAATTAGGGCCATTGATTTCACAGTGAAGCTCAGCCGGCAAATATATTCGGGCCCCTAAGCTTCCCCAACTGTGAATTTTAAGTGGCTTGCTGGATACTCTCAGGGGGATATTAACCATCATACCTGAATTTAAATTGCATTTCCGAACAGTCCAGAGGAAAGAGATTTCTTGGGCATAGTTTATCACATAGTACGTTTTATTTGGGAGTGGGGGTGTAAACCCAGTAACTGAATGCTTTAGCTTTTTGTTTTTCTCTTCCACAACTCTCCTATAATTAAGGACACCTACAAATTGCCGCACAGATTAATAGAAAAGAAGAGAAGAGACCGAATTAATGAATGCATTGCTCAGCTGAAAGATTTACTGCCTGAACATCTGAAATTGACAGTAAGATGCACATTTTCATTCTTTGCTGCTCTCCAAGGGCGTGTTAATAGCCTGGTACGACTCCCAGAGATATAAGAATAAATGTAAATATTGGATGCCTGACTTACAACTTGTGCTATAGTGTGCAGTTTCCCACCAACTCAGAGTAGGTGCTCCTACTAAAGGCAAGAAATCATTTATAACCTGACTTGTGGAAAGCTCAAGAAGTATTAAGAATAGTACTTTTTTCATAGCGTTTCCTTAAGTTGCTTGTGCTGAATGAATGGAAAGCCAGTCAAGCCAAATGTGTTGTGAAGTAACCAAGTGCCCCCTTTTCTTTTGCACCACTGCAGACCCTGGGGCACCTGGAGAAAGCTGTAGTCTTGGAATTAACTTTGAAACACTTAAAAGCTTTAACAGCCTTAACGGAGCAGCAGCATCAGAAGATAATTGCTTTACAGAATGGTAAGTCAGTTCAGGGAGGCCAACCTACCCTGATGAAGCCGGGCAGCCCACAGAGGACCAGTGTTAAAACCCCCACCTTCTTCCGTGGGCCCACAGGCTCACTCATTTGTTAAATGGCTTATATTTTCTCTTTATTGGAGAGTGCCTATTTCCCAAAGCATCCTAGAAGCTCTCAGCAGAACTCGGAGGAATCAGATTTTTATTTAAAGTGGCGGTTGCGCCCTCTCTCCTTAGGTTTTTCTGCTGGGAAGAGAGCGCCCCCCCTGCTCCCCACCTCCGCCACCCCCCCTTCTCTCAGCACCCGGTGGATTATATCACTCGATTACGGAGGAAAAACCGAGATCACTTTAGTCAATGCAGGGCCCACGTGATAAGCAGATGTTTTAACGTCGGTATTTTTCTTCTTGCCTCCATTCCTCTGTCCCCCACCCCCACGCCCTTCCTCCTCTTAGGGGAGCGATCTCTGAAATCGCCCATTCAGTCCGACTTGGATGCGTTCCACTCGGGATTTCAAACATGCGCCAAAGAAGTCTTGCAATACCTCTCCCGGTTTGAGAGCTGGACACCCAGGGAGCCGCGGTGTGTCCAGCTGATCAACCACTTGCACGCCGTGGCTACTAAGTTCTTGCCCACCCCCCAGCTGTTGACTCAACAGGTCCCTCTGAGCAAAGGCACGGGCGCCCCCTCGGCAGCCCCCCCCGCCG